TAATAAGGGGCTAGCTAAAGACAAGGAGAGCCCAATGGGGCGTCACTAGGGTTGCCACCCGTACTCTATTTCGACTGTGCGTACGTTATACTTTACAAGACACCTAAAGTACGCAAAAATACTTTATATTTAATGATATGTTAAAGGAAATAATTCAAAATTAATTAAACTACATTTTTTCAACAAGTAAAACGTAAAAAATACAAAACCATTATATGTATAATACCTATAACGGTACAATTATTTATTGGCTGAACGCACTCACATGAGAGACTCTNGAATAAAGCTTCATTAAAACTAATTAAAAATGAACTTTTAGTTTACTTAAATCTTTGTTTGCCATGTTTAGAGGCTATTAATGTATTTAAGAGCAACAGCAATTTGTTACTGGCTGCTAGGTGTTACAAAAAATATGTTTTTAAAAACAAAAAATAAAATACTTTATTTTTTTAACCTTTTAGTTGAGAAATACTTTATGTAAAGCCTGAAAAAGTGGCAACCCTAGGCGTCACGGTTTTGTTACGTGGAGTATGGGACAGAGTCGATGTTTTCGTTATTTTAGAATTTGTTTAAAATTCAATTATGACAGCATATTAAAAAGCTGCTCCCTTTAGGTGTATTGAAGGGGAGGTCAAAAATTGATGGATTTTGCGTTACGTAATCTATTTGCCCTATTTGCTTATATTGGAACACAATGTACAAAAGTCAATTAGCAAGTCACAATCGATATTCGTAAGTAAATTTTTATAGTTCAAAATAATTAATTTTTCTTACGCGTAGTAATAGCCGTGAGTTTTCGCTCTCAATCAGCAAACAAGAACCACGTCGGATGTTATTAGATTTCTCCGAAAAATTGCACTTGTTTTGGCATGCAACAACTTTCATGGTTCAAATGGTCGGAAGACCGCAAACAATGCACAATTACCTTGCGATAGATATCTAAAGTTGACGGCTTCTGTTTAGTTACGATTTAGTGAAATAGAAAGTGTTGTTACACTTATTTCACTGGAGCATAATTGAAGCGTTAACATTAGAAAATCTTTTAAGGTCTGTATTTTTAAATAATAATTTATTGCAGATTATCCTTGTTGTCTATAGTAACGGCGCACTCATGAGGGAAGATTGTGCTAAGGATTTTAAAATGTCCAAGGAAGAGTATTTTGTAATGAACTTTCATATTGAAGAACTGTACTTTAATTTAGTCCAATTCTATTTAAATATTTTATATTATTTAATAACACTTGATATATTGTTGTGCGTCAATCTAAAAAACAGAGTGCATCACACAGTATTGCAAACGAAAATTACAAAGTAGGGGTCAGCAAGGAATATTGAAATCAATTTTTTCTGGCTATTCAAATAATACTGTGGCTCGTTTTTAGTTGCTATCAAAGAAATTTTTAATCTACACATACCATTAGAGTTGTGAGATTTAGTGAGATAAGCAGATGAAAATATTTTGGTTTAATTATTAGTGCTATTATGTAAATTATTTATTTCCCATAGCGGAGATTATTAACAAATGAATAATTTATCTAATACCTGAGCGAGTTCAAAGTGGTTTGTTTTAGATAATTACTTTAGGGAGAAATATATTGTATTAAGAAGTTTTCTTCTTGTACTTTACGCGACTAAGTTGTTTTTAGCTTTTGAATTAGATGAACGAATTAACAAAAAAAGTTTATTTTGAAAAAATCGTCTAATTTTCGAAAGTGCAACTTTTGAAATTTAATTTTAGGGTTTGGAGAAGTTTCAATCCCCTATGTTACTTGACTTACTATTGTGAATTACGGAAAATCCTTCAAGGAGTAAATTGAACATAATTTAGCACTTGCTGGATGACCAAGGTATTTACATACCTAAATAAAAACTACATGATGGAACTATTTAGTTTTTACCTATACTTTACAGTTACTTATACCTATGCACAGATACATAAATATATTTATTTAGAAGTGAAACTTGACAAACGCTTAATCGGATTATTTGTTTAACCTCGAAAATATGTACATAATATGAATATTTGCATACAAAATCATCATCCATGTTAGTTTTACCGATTGTTTAAGTGAAGTTAAATGAAATGTTACTATTGTAATGCTTATTTCAAATCCAGCTTTTGACCAAATACGTACAATGGTCATAGAAATAAGAGCAAAAAATTATTTTAAGCGGCTAGCAAAATCTCCATTTTTGGATAACTTCATAATCATATCCAAATATTTTATTTTATTGTGATTTCGATATTAAGAGCAATCTAAGTGAACTGTAGATACTTATAATTAATAGGGGGTTTTATTAAAACGTTACTAATTATACGTGTGAGTAAGGAAGGATAAGAATCCTAAATGAGTTGAAAAATACTTCATATATTTTGTGAGTGACTCCTTATTTTTGAACTCTCATTGCAATCTCTCAAGTTTCCAACATTACTAGCGTTAGTGGCGCCAAATGCGGGCCCTAAAAATGTCGCTATTTCCCGTGCTAAAAAGTATTGGCGCGGTGAAAATTAAACGTTCTATTGCTAATTTCATAATTAAATTTCTAAAAATGATCATGATCAACATCATGAAAGACAGTACAACTGTAGGCATAGATATACAGGGGCAAAAGATTAGTATGCTTAAATTTGCAGATGATATAGCAGTATTAGCATCTAGCAAGGAGGAGTTAGAGATACCTTTAAATAAAATGGATGCGGTACTGAAAAAACAGTACTGTGTGAAATTAAATAAAAGTAAAACAAAAATACTGGTATGCAAGGGAAAAATAGTAGGGAAAGAGCGAATATAAATATAGGAGAGGAAACATTAAAAGAAGTGGCTGATTTTAGGTATCTAGGAAGCCAGACAAGTCAGGACGGAAGGAGTGGTAGGAATATAAAGCAAAGGATAGAGCAGGGTCGAGTCGCTTTCAATAAAAAGAACTCACTTCTATGCTCGCGAACGGTTAATTTAAAAATTCGAAAAAGGTTGTTAAAGGTAGTGTCACTTTTGCTGTCCGTTCCGGCCACTTCAGCATTTACAGAAAGAGTATTCCGAGTATTCTATTCTCCATAATGAATGCAAAGTGGCGGGACGACAGTAACCCTAATCCAGATATACCTCTGGGACCGATTCACTATGCTTATCGTCTTATGGCCTTTATACAAAACTAAAATCTTTAGTGAAAGTTNCAAGTTTTAGGACTGACGACCTTATGATGATGAAAAATGATTATGATCATTTTAGTTAGATAATTTACTGAGTTTTATAAAAAGTCCCCCAATACCTTAAATTTCAATTTATTATTTTATTGATTCTCCGATTTTTTACGTATGTATACGAAATCCACCGAAACATTTATCGAAGAAATCCATTGTCCTACATTTCTAAGAAAATATTTCGTCAACGATACTATATTATTAATATTAGGCAATATTCAGCAGCTGTATTGTCAAAATATTTCGTAACGAAACGTTAGGTATTTTATGTTCTATTCAGATCTCTACACATAGTTTCTATAAAAAGACAAAGTCATTGATACTTACACTTTATTCGAGATATTCGATTTGTTCTTTAGGTGATCTGATACCATGAAACCGGCAACGAATTAGAATCAGCTCTGGTTAAGAATTTGTTTATCGATTGAGCTTGATTTTATCGGTTGCATAATAAAACTAATATTTCGTGGTTATCAATGTGTAATATCGTTACAATTTAATGGTTTGTATACACCAATTGCAGTGATGTATGGCATTTGTCAAAGATTAAATACAAATGATAATATTTTTTGATTCGAGTCGCAACTAATCATTATTTATTTAGTTACTAGCTTACCGTAAAAAAAAATAAAAATTAACAATATTATTGATATTTTTTAAATTTTGAACACACATTTCCAAGAATACAGAAAAGCACAAAGGGTACCTTTTATTCAGAAAAAATACTGTTCCCGAGACAGAGATGTAATTTATTTGAAATACTTGTATTTAAAATTCAAATATAAAATTAAAAATACAAATCATTTTGGCATGAGTGTATTTTTTCTAATTAAAATGGGTGACAAAGGCTAATAAGGAAGCATATGGAAGAATTATTTATCACTGAACTGAAGAAACCAAAACATAAATATAGAATCTCAATCTCAATCATATCAAACAGAAAGATATAAATCATACTCAATTTTCCCAGCTGGTTATATATGTAGTACAAAAACCACTATTAGTTTAGAAAAAACTCCAATATTGATTATATATGATTTCTACAAGAATGTGTTTATTTGAAAATATTATTTTGAAAATACGTATTTTGCATTTAGCATTTATAATACAAAAGGAAAATCTATTTTGTATTTTACGTTTGAATTAACAAATCAGAAAAGTATTTGCATTTTGTATTTAAATACTTTTAAAAAACCATTTTGCACATCTCTATCCTGAGAAATTCCTTTTATGTAGTCGATTTCACGACTTAAATACTCAATCAACCATCATAAAATTTGGTAGACGAATTGTCAGAGGTACAGAAAAAGACATAGGGTACCTTTTTTTATCCAGAAAAAATGCTGTTCCCGAAGGATAGAAAAATTAGTTTTATGTGTTAGTCGATGATCACGAAATACGACATCAACGCGAATGAAGCCGCTAGTAAAATCTAGTAATAAATAAGAATTGATTCATATTTTATTGTTTAGAACCTAAATGCTAACCAAATATTTCGTTTGTACATTCAGGCATGCATAATATAATGTCAAAATGTGGGTGATAGAAAGTAGAAGACATTATAATACGTACACTATATACTTCCACTATTTGTCCAACTCATTATACGCGACTTTCGGAAGATATGCATTTCATTCATAATAAAATAGGTCGACGTGTGTGTATAGAAACATTAGTTGAATACATATCGCTAATTACACGTGTCCGTCTGTCCGTATTATTCTTAAACATTTTATATACGTGTTACAGTGACTGAGAAAGTGGCATTTATTACACCTAATTTTTGTTTCTGTTACAGGTAACCACTGGCTTATTAAGCGACCCAAACGAACTGTGTATATACATTATGAAATCCTGAACTTTACCAAGAAACAAAAATGAAATCTAGCATGATGTAGCAGAACCATAATGTTTTTATCAACACAACAGACAACACCGGCAGTACCTAATAAAAAATGAACTATTATTGTTACCCACAGCAAGTGTTCATGCTACAATTATTTTAATCGTGACAGTAAATAATGAAAAACATTTCGAAAATATCACTACCAGTGCAAAGAGTTCTTATTCACGGATCCGATTTGGTATTCTTAAAAATCGTGCAAAAATTAAAAGGTTTTCTACGTTAGTAATAACAATAACTATCCTTTTTCCACGTCTGCCATGGAAAACGTTTACAAAATCAAGGTCCGCACAAACCCGGACCCAAACTGGCTCTACCCTTCTGAAAGAAGATATTCTGCAAGCACAGTGTTAGGACTAGGGGTAGTCCATTTAGCCCTAGCTCTAACCGCTCTTCTCTTAGCGTGCTTAACCCTTGCAGCATCTCAAAGACTTAGCATCGAAGACCAAGAAGTTACCAATAGTGGGATAGAAGAATCGAAAATGACCGAACCCAATAACCAAAACGCATCGCTAGAAGAAAATGCTCATCTACACTGTGATTCTGTACTTAATTTGACCTTAGCCCCTTGTATAATGTGTTTGGGAGCTTTAGCTGCAGGTTTGACTGCATTACTCGCCTGGAAGAGGTGGTACATAGACCAAAACATCAAATGGTTTTTCATCATGTCCATATTTTCGTCACTAACAGCTTCGGTGTGCCTGATAGCGATAGCTATAACTATGGCAATGGCATCAGAAGCATTACATATTATGGACACATTTTCTACCAAAAATCACCATGCACCTAGTTTAAAATTGGTTGTAGCTGTGAACGTATTCATTGCTTCCGTTTTGGAGTTCACCTGGTCCATTTTGTCTTCGAAAATAGCCTACAAAGGGATGATCAATGACTATCCAGATGATATCGTCATTTCGAAACAAGGAGGACGGAAACAAATAAGTACCGTACGGAAAGGAAATTGTAAAGGAAAACTGATGCCACCTGACATTTTAAATCATTTTCCGTTTGGAGGAGTGTTTTCCAAATATTTTCCGAATAAAAAAGAAAACGAATATTTGCCCAAAGAAGAAAGTCACTCGGAGTATCAAGAAAGAGTTCACAAATTTTTAGCCTCACAAAATAGTATGACTGAAAGCATCAGGTAAAATGTAAGGAAAAAATAAATAAAAAAACGACCAATTATAGACTGATAGAATACGAATTTAAGTTACGTACATTTATTGTAAAATTTAAATATTATTAATAAATAATTTTGATCACTTACTTCATAATAAAAGTTAGTCCGTTTATGAGTATTTACAGTTTTCTGATATAATCTTGTTCGGTGCTTGGTACAAGATAATATGAACAGAACAATTATAAAACAATAAAAATTCCATTTTACACTCGCTCTTACAACAGAACATGTAAATCAATTATTTTGCCTGCTTATAGTTAGTAACGAGATGTTTTTGACTATAATAATTACTCGAACAGTTAGTGTAGCACCCGTAGACAATAGTGTTTTTCTTTGTTTTTGGTTCATTATTTACAGTACACTAGCGACAAATAGAAACCATTTAAAACCATTGTTTCAGCAAGTGTGATTATTTTCTTGAAAATATGACATAATTCAGTCACACTTTCAATTTATACAGATATCTAGAGTAGGTTAAAAAAGTAGAAAAAATAAAATATGTTTCAATGCTGTTCTTTCAGCGAAATTTTATAGCAATTTATTCTGGTTATTCATTAAATGTTTTCGAGTGTAATAAGGGGCTAGCTAAAGACAAGGAGAGCCCAATGGGGCGTCACTAGGGTTGCCACCCGTACTCTATTTCGACTGTGCGTACGTTATACTTTACAAGACACCTAAAGTACGCAAAAATACTTTATTTAAGGCCTTAAGTAAACATCGTAATTTTGTAAGCGATTATTCGAAATTCAGAGTATTTTTACATCAATAATATTGCACAGAAAAATGGCAAGCCATATTTACGGAACAACCTGATTTCCCAAATCTGTTCAAAGTAGTGTCACTTTTGCT